GTTTGCTTTTGATTATCCCCTCCCTGAATCTGCCCTCCCCTCTATCAACCCTTCTCTCTTGTCCCCTTCCCCCCTTATTTTCCTGTAGAGTAAGATTGATTTCCATACCCCATTGTGTATGTTATTGCCTCCTTAAGCCAAATCCTATGAGAATAAGATTCACTCATTCCCTCTCACCTTCCCCCATTTCCCCTCCACTGTAAAAGCCTTTTCTTGTCTGTTTCGTGTGAGATACTTTACCTCATTCTACTTCTCCCTTTCTCCTTCTCCCAGTATAATCTTTTCCCACCCCTTAATTTTATTTTCCAGATATCACCCCTTCATCTTCAACTCACCCTGTGTCCTCTATCTATCTATCTACACAAACATATAATTGTTTCCCCTCCCACTACCCTAATACTGACAAAGGACTCATGAGTTACAAATATCATCTTTCCCTGCAGGAATGTAAACAGTTCAACCTTAATAAGTCTCTTATGATTTCTCTTTCCTGTTTACCTCTTCCATGTTTCACTTGAGTCTTGTATTTGAAGGTCAAATTTTCTATTCAGCTCTGGTCTTTTCCACAGGAATGCTTGAAAGTCCTCTATTTCATTGAATGACCATTTTAAAAAAATTTTTAGGCAATTGGGGTTAAGTAACTTGCCTAGGGTCACACAGCTAGTAAGTGTCAAGTTTTTGGTCTGAGGCCGGATTTGAATTCAGGTCCTCCTGACTCCAGGGTTGGGGCTCTATCCACTGCGCCAACTAGCTGCCCCGAATGACCATTTTTTTTACCCTGAAGGATTATACTCAGTTTTGCTGGGTAGGTGATTCTAGGTTGTAGTCCTAATTCCTGTGCCCTCCGGAATATCATACTCCATGCCCCCCGGACCCTTTATGTAGAAGCTGCTAAATCTTGTGTCATCCTGATTGTGTTTCCACAATACTTGAATTGTTTCCTTCTGGCTGCTTGCAATATCTTCTCCTTGACCTGAGAATTCTGTAATTTGGCTACAACATTCCTAGGAGTTTTCCTTTGGGGATCTCTTTCAGGAGGTGATCAGTAGATTCTTTCAATTTCTATTTTGCCCTCTGGTTCTAAAATATCAGGGCAATTTTCCTTGATAATTTCTTGAAAGATGATGTCTAGGCTCTTTTTTGATCATGGCTTTCAGATAGTCCAATAATTTTTAAGTTCTCTCTTCTGGATCTCTTTTCTAGGTTGGTTGTTTTTCCAATGAGATATTTCACATTCTCTTCTATTATTTCATTCCTTTTGATTAGTGTTACAGTGCCTTGATTTCTCAAATTGTCCCTATCTTCCAGTTTCTCCATTTTAATTTTTAAAGAAGTATTTTCTTCAGTAAGCTTTTGGACTTCCTTTTCCAGTTGGCTAATTTTGCTTTTAAGGGCATTCTCCTCGTTAGCTTTTTGGACCTCTTTTGCCATTTGGGTTACGCTATTTTTTAAGGTGTTATTTTCTTCAGTATTTTTTTGGATTTCCTTTAGCATCACTCTCAGTTTTTCCTCTACTTCTCTTACTTGCTTCTCAAAATCTTTTTTGAGCTCTTCAATGGCCTGGGACCAATTCATATTTTTCTTGGAGGCTTTGGATGTAGGAGCTTTGGCTTCGTTGTCTTCTTCTGGTTGTATGTTTTGATCTTCTTTGTCATCAAAGTAAGATAATATAGTCTGACTCTTTTTGCACTGCTTGCTCATGATCCCAGCCAATTACTTGAGTTATAAACTCTTTGTTAAGGTAGGAGTCTGTTTCCAGTGTGGAGAATGTACTGTCCCAAGCTTCAGGGGTTTTGTGCAGCTGTGTTCAGAGATACTTCTAGGGACCTGTAAATTTTCAGTTCTTCCAAGGTGGTACGATCAAGGGTGAGGTGTTTACTCCTTTCCTGGCCTGTGCTCTGGTCTATGAGTACTCTTTTCTGTCTTGGAATTGTGAGGAGGGTTTCCTCTCCACAGCCACTACAAGCTCCACCATGCCAGTGCTCCTCCTTGCCCCAGGACCGTCACCCAGAACCATGACCCAGATCCAAGCATGGGCAAAGCAAGAGAATCCTGCACCAGCAGAGAGATCCCTGCAATCCTCCTCTGATCAGCCACTCGATTCCCCCTCAGTCTGTGGGCCGGAAGCTCAGGTGGCAGCCGCTGTCCCCGCCAAGCTCGGGGACTGGAGCTGAGACCAGCGGCTTCTCTTTTTCCCCGCTGACACAGACTTTTCCCACTGACCTTCCAAGTTGTCTTTGGCATTCCTTGGTTGAGAAGTCAGGAAACCGCCACAGCTGCCCACCATTCAGTCCTCTGAGGCCTGCTGCAGGGTTGCTGTGGCCTGCGTGCCCATGCCAAACTGCGCTCCTCTCCCAGCTTGGCGTGATATACCTTTCTGATCAACCATCCCGGCTTTCTTGGTTTGGAAATTTGTTTCGCTCTGTCTTTTTATGGGTTTTGCTGCTTTAGAATTTGTTTAGAGTTATTTTTTGGGTATTTGGAGGGGTTTGGGTTAGAGCTCAAGCAAATCGCTGCTTTTACTCTGCCATCTTGGCTCTGCCCCTGTTTTTTTTTTTTTTTTATCCTCATTCTGTGACCTCTTGGCAGATTTTAAATATATGATGTATACAACCAGCATTTGAGAAGGATGGGACTACATCTGTGATTTCATCGGTCTAGAGAATTCCTGCTTGAGGAAACTCTTTCTGCTGACACAGGTTGGAATGGTCTGTGCTACTTAGAGCAATGTCTAGGGCTCTGAGTGGTTAACCTAGAAGCTAATGTGTGTCAGAAATAGGACTTGAACCTAGATCTTCCTGACTTGGAGGTCAACTCTCTAATACCACATGGCCCATCAGGTGAGGGGGGTTCTGAAAAGAAATTAAGGCTCAGAAGTGTTAAGTGATTCTCCCATAACTAGTGGGTCAGAGGTGAAAATTGAACCCTAATATTCCTGATTCCAAGTTCAGTACTCTCTACTCTCTCCTTCTGGTTGAGGATGGACATCTGGGAGCACCTCCTTGATCCTCAACCATATAAGGAGGGCACCCAGGGAACTCTCCTCATTATTCTCTTCCTTGCTACTTTCTTAGACTTTGTCATCTTTAGAAACTCATCATTCTGCAAGATGAAACCAACTTTAAAATCAACTCTGAAACTCACTTCCTCAGATTCTAACCCTAGCTATAGGACTTTATCATGCCCTTTTCCCTAGTTACCCTTTTCTTTTCACCTTTTTAAAAAAATGAATTGGCTTTCTCCATTAGATTGTGAGTTCCTTGAGGACAGACTGTTTTATGCCTTTCTTCATATCTCTAGTTCTTAGCTCAGTGCCCAACCCAAAGTAGATTCTTAATAAGTGTTTATTGAAACTATACAAAATTGCCTCTCTGCCTTGAAAGTCAGATATTGAAGAGAAAGTGAATAAAATCAAATTTTGGGTGGAAGGCATGAACACCCAGAATGGGGGTGGGGGCATGGGATTAGGAAGGGCTTCATGTAGATAGTTGTGTTTGAGCTGAGAGTTGAGGGAAACTAGGGATACCGGGACTTGGTGGTAAGGGAGGAGTATATCCCAAGTATGAGGGACAACCAAGGAATGCAAAGACTTCGGATAGGGTGCCACATAGAAGGAACAATAAGGACAATTTGGTGGGACCATAGTGTGCATGAAGAGGGGAGTAATATATAATAAAGACTAGAAAAGTAGGTTGGGGCTTAGGCTATAAAGGGCATTAAATACAAAAGAGAAGAATTAATATTTGATACTAGATAAAATAGTGAGTTATTGGAGTTTATTGAGCAGAGGAGTGACATAGTCTACCTTTACTTTAGTCAAATCACTTTGGAAGCTGTTTGACTGATGGTTTGGGATGGAATAAGGCAGGAGAAGACTAATTAGCAAGCTATTGCAGTATATTAGATGAGAGTTAATGTGGACTTGAAAAAGACCTGCTTAGGGATTTGCCATAAAATCCTGAGCTTATTTTCTGTGGGAAAAGAGCAGAAATGAGTTTTAAAATATAATTAAAACTTAATAACATCTTAACTACAGTAGCATAGCAATAATTTAAAATCTTTTTGTTCTTTGACACAGGGGATTGTAGGAGAATTCCAAAGCCACCTTTTCCCAGGTCTATGCTTACCTCCAGCCACCATTTGAAAAAAAAATAGATGAAAAACACTTGTAACATATCTAGTCAAGCAAAGCAGATTTCCACATTGACCCTGTCCAGAAATATATATACTGTCACATCACTGGCTAGATGTAGTTAGCATGTTTCATCTTCAGTATTCTGGATCATGGCTGGTCATTGCATTGATTAGAGTTTTCAAGTCTTTTTAAGTTGTTTTTCTGTATAACATTGTTGTCTAAATTATTCTCTTGGTTCTGCTTACTTCATTTTGTATCAGGTCTTCTCAGTTTTCTCTGAAACCATCCACTTTAGCATTATTATAGTGTGATAATAGCCTGTTACATTCCTATGCCGTAATTTGTTTAGCCATTCCTATACAGTAAGTTACTAGGTTTTTGCTACAACAAAAAGAGTTGCTATAAATATTTTTGTCGTTATGGGCCCCTTTCTTCTTTTTAAAATCTGTTCATTGTGTGGACCTAGTAGTAATATTGATAGGTCAAAGGGTATGTGCAATTTAGTAACTTTGGGGACATAATTCCAAACTGCTTTCCAGAATGATTAGACTAATTCACAGCTCTACTGATAGTGTTAACATTTTCCTACAGCTCATCCTCCAATTGTCATTTTCTTTTTTTGTCATCTTTGCCAGTATCATTGGTGTGAGGTAGAACCTCAGAGCAACTTTATTTTATATTTCTCTGTGAGTGGTTTGGAGCCTTTTTTCATATGTTTGTGTATAGCTTGGATGTCTTCCTTTGAAAACTGCTGGGACATATTGTTATTTTAGTAGAAACAATGTATCTTATGATATTTAAAACAAAATTTGGGTTCATCTGTTTTAACTTTCATTGTTTTTAACTTTGGTGTTCACTTGGACAGGTGTGATGCTAGCATAGCTAGACTGTCTGCAGAGCATAAAACAACATATGAAGGCCTTCAGCACTTGAACAAAGAACAGCAGGCTGCCAAACTTATTTTGGAAACTAAAATCAAAGATGCAGAAGGACAGGTATGATATTTTAAAAATAATTTTCTAAAATGGTTGATTTGCACTTAGCACAAATACCTTGAGGTTAATAGTTTCTTGAAGCAGATGAGTCATTTTTTTTATACTGGGGCTGGGCTTATGTAGAAATAGAAGAACTTTTTTCCTTTACTTCTCACATCTTCCTGTCCTTTGTCATCTTAAGTGTATTAGCAGAGCAGTCTTTTGTATCATCTTATTTGCTTATATATTGCATACATGAAATGAAACAATTGGTGTTGTTGTGTGACAGGTAGAAAAAAAAACCTAGGCAAATTCCTGAGTGTGTTGGGCGATGGGGCAGTGTAGTTCAGTTTCTAGAGCTAAGAGGTCCAGATGGTCTATTCTAAGAAATCTGGCTCAGTCCCAGGTAATTTCTAACTCCTAAAACCCTGAAGAAGCCCAGTTGAGTCCAGGATGTCATGAAGGCTCACATCTACCCCAGGGTGGGCATGAACTTAATTCCTTCTGAGGATGTTCTATACAGAGGCCAGGCCAAGTCTCTTCAGAGTAACCCAGACTAGAGGATACCTCCTTTCCTTCTTCTTCCTGCCCCCCTCATCCTCATTATTTAAGTTCCTGTCCTTAGGCATTCGCCAATACCAGGCCAGCTTCTAAAAGGGTGGAGGTTAGCTGATATATTTGCCTAGGCATTCACCCAGGTGCATTTGACTCTATTTCAGACTTCTTTAGACTTTAAAATGAACTCATTTTCCATCAGCCAATTTGGGATGAGTTGGCAGGGCCAGGAGGCAGGCAGCATGGACTGGGAATAGAGCTACTTAGCCTTCTTTTATAGTCCTTATACCCAGCCTTCACTTAATTATAATGACTGGGGAGGGATAGCTGAGAAGTGGGTCACCTAGATACCAATTAGCAAGGCAAAATAATGCCTTTTCCTAGAAAAAGGGCTATAGCCAAATGGTTAGATACAATTGTTTATTGTAGTGGAAAGGGAATAAGCATTTCTACAGCTCCTACTATGTGCCAGGCACTATGCTAGGTGTGGGCAATTCACAAGGCAGCTTTGTCAGTTTTGTTAAACATGGCCATTCATGGCAATATCAAAGCAAAGCACAAAATAAGAAAGCTATAGCCTCTCAGAAGTTGTTTATTGCTGCAGCCTGGAACCCCTTGTCTCCTGATTAGGGTCTATTTAGAACTTTTGCCAGAAAGCCTGCCCACATGGTATATTTCATCAAAATTAGAATTGTTCCAGCTACATGGAAATTGGCAAGAGGTTGGAGCACTCATAGTCACACAGATGGTACAGAGACTGCAGTAAAATGTCCGTTTTACTAGTCAGCCAATTGTAAAAAAGCCATAGGGTCATTAGTTTGAACTTATGGGAAGAGATGAGGTGGTATGGCACATGAATAGAACCATTTCCTCTCCTTCCACTACAACTCAACTCCATAATTGTGGCTGTGATAATGAAAAAGGCACTAGATAATCCTAGACTAGGGTAGTTCCTTCTAGCAAAAAGGTTGGGTCTACTTTTATAATAATTTAGTCATCCAATAGATATTTATTTAGTATCTTCATGTGTATAGTACTGTGACAGGCACTCTAGGGAATACAAAGAAACCCAAGAATTGATCTCCATTGTAAAAAAAAAAGTGTAATGTAATTGGAGAGAAAGGTAAATGTGCATGAATTTATATAGCAATACATGGTATTATATGTTTGGTGGCTTTTCCTTCACTCGAAGTCTTCCGGCCCAGGTTGGAAAAAGAAAGAACATGTTTTAGCTTCCATGCCAATCAGTATTAGGAGCAGGCACTTCTGGCCTGGAGGAGAGGGAGGAAAAGGAAGAGAAGGAGATGAGGAGAAGGAGGAGGGATGAGGAGGAAGATTCTACCTCCTTTTCCTCCTCCTTCCCCTCCTCCCCTTCTTCCTCTTCTGTTTGAATTCTTCTATTGATACATATGGAATATCTTCCATGCCTTAATAGAAAATATTCTTGAATTGCTAAGAGACCCCTCCTCCCTCTGCCCCAAATAATCATTACTTCAAGGCCGACCTTCTGGAGATGAGTATCTCTGATTGTAGCTAGGCTGATCCTAGGACCATGGACCACAGGCCATTACTGGACCAGCATAGAGGCTTTTCCAGCTTGATGGTATCTGTCAGGTCTTGTACTTCACTGGCATAGACCTCAGGAACTCTGTTACATCCCCCTTTGATGAGGCATTGTGAGTAGGATTTTAGTGGAAGGTTTATAACAAAGCTAAACATGCTAAACAAGATTATTGATTACTTTTAAAATTCTTGGTATAATTAATGAATTTCTCTTTTCTAAAGTTACTTTTTGTAAAGATTTAAATAGATAATGGCTTCTGAGGTTCTTTGCTAGTTTAAATCTATAATTCTGTGATCCAATATGGAATTTTAAAGTGTGAATTACTTTTTTCAGATTTCTCAGCTTTTAAGCAGAGTAGACCTGTCAATATCAGAGCAAAGCACAAAGCTGAAAATGACCCACAGAGATAGCAACCATCAGCTTCACCTTTTGGACATTAAGTGAGTAGCCCTTGTACTAAGAAATAATTTTTCTTGGTTTAGAAATTTCAACTTAGTCAACATTTATTATGTGCTTATGATGTATAATATATTTTGCTAGGAGCATAGTTGAACCAAATAGAGGTGATCTGTGAGTTTCTGCAATGCTACTCATTCTTAATTGCTATGCTATTCATATACTACAATTCCAATCTGCTTCTTAAATTTTTTAACAGTTACAGGAATGAATATGTTATAGTTCATGAAGTGTTCATTTGCTAGAGGAAATTCTCTTCTTAGATTGGATAAAGAGGGAATGGACTCATGTATAAAAATATTTATATTTTCACTTTTTTGTTGTAGCAAAGAGCTAGAAATGAAGTGAATATCTATAAGTTGGGGAATGGCCGAACAAATTATGTTTTATGAATTATATAATACAGTATTACTGCATTATAAGAAACGATGAAAGGGACAAATTGAGTGAAATGTGGGAAAACTTATATGAATTGATGCCAAGTAAAGTGTAGAAACAGAACTGTTTTATACAGTGACCACAATAGCATAAAGACTAACACTTTAGAAAGACTTAGGGACTTTAATCAATTCAGTGACCAATAACAACTCCAGAAGATTGATGATGAAGCATCCCTCTTACTTTTTGTTGGAAAAGTGATAGACTATAGATACAGTATCGGACATACATTTCCATATACAACCATTCAACAAAAGGGAGGGCTTTTATTTGAAGAGTGCTTCAAGGGGAGTTAGGAAAGGTGGAAGTTAGTGATCATGTTATTTAAAAAAAAAGGAAGAGAGGAAAGAAAAGAAAAGCTGATTCGTGAAACTTTTCAAACACAGATGATACCAGAGGGAAAGTTCTGAAGGAGACAAACACTGAAGGGCAGTTTTGGGACTACCATGTTGTGCTGATCTGGGCTTGACTCAGGCTAGTTTCATGGTAGTTCAGGTTTTATATTGGGACAAAATGAGACACTCATAGATCATTCCAGTGTTAACAAAAGGAAATTTACTTAGCTAGAGCTAGAGAAGGATTTTCAATAAGAATAGGGATTCAGAACTCCTTGAGTTGATTCAGCTGAGTGTAGCTCCCATTTGGACCACCCCCCCAGATAAGCATCTGAAGGCCCCTTCAGCTCCTCAATCTGTGCTCTTACTCCTCTGAGCCAACCAGCTCTTGAGAAATGTCTCAGTGTTGTTTAAGGAAAATTAGTCTAACCTGCATGGACAGATGGGTCAGGATATCGCTGCTCCCACCCATGTTAAATTTAATATATATTTTTAATATTTTCCCCAACTATCCAATTCTGTATAAAAACAATTTTTACATTTGTTTTTTAAATTTTTGAGTTCCAAATTCTCTCCCTTCCCTCACCCCTTATTAAGAAGGCAAGGAATTTGATAAAGGTTATACATGTCCTGCCATGCAAAATGTATTTCCATATTAGTCATGTTGTGAAAGAAAATACAGACAAAAAAAGTTCCAAGAAAAATAATGTTAAAAGAAGTATGCTTTGATCTGCATTCAGACTCCATCAGTTCATTCTCTGGTGGTGGATAACATTTTTAATCCTAAGCCCTTCTGAATTGTCTTAGATCATTGTATTGCTGAGAATAGCTAAGTTGTTTACAATTGATCATTGTACAATATTGCTGTTACTGTGTACAGTGTTCTCCTGGTTTTGTTCAGTTCACTTTACATCAGTTCATGTAAATCTGTTCAGGTTTTTCTGAAAGAATCCTGCTTATCATTTCTTATAGCACAATAGTACTCCATCACAATCATATACCACAATCATATACTATTCCCCAATTGATGGGCATCCTTTCAATTTCCAATTCTTTGCCTCCACAAAAAGTGCTTCTATAAATATTTTTTATACAAACAGATCCTTTCCCTTTTTGTTTTAACCTCTTTGGAATACAGATCTAGAAGTGGTATTGTTGGGTCAAAGGGTGTATACAGTTTTATAGCCCTTTGGGCATTGTTCCAAATTGCTCTCCAAAATGTTTGGATCAGTTCACAATATTGTCAGTAGTGCATTAGTGTCCCAATTTTCCCACAGCCCCTCCAATTTTTGTCGTTTTCCTTTTCTGTCATATTAGCCTCTCTCATAGGTATGAGGTGGTACCTCAGAGAAGGTTAATTAGAAGATTAATTAATAGTGATTTAGAGCATTTTTTTCATATGACTATGGATTGCTTTGATTTCTTCTTCTGAAAACTGCCTGTTCATATCCTTTGGCCATTTATCAATTGGGGAATGGCTTGTATTCTTATAAATTTGACTCAGTTCTCCATATATTTGAGAAATAAGGCCTTTTTCTGAGAAATTTGCTGTAAAATTTCCCCCAATTTTCTGCTTTCCTTTTAATTTTGTCTGCATTAGTTTTATTTGTGCAAACCTTTTAAATTTGATGTAATTAAAATTATCCATTTTATATCCCATAATGTTCTCTATCTCTTGTTTGGTCATAAATTCTTCCCTCTTCCATAGATTTTGATAGGTAAACTGTTACATGTTTCCCTAATTTGCTTATGGTGTCTCCCTTTATTTCTGAATCATGTAATCCACTCTTGCTCTCTGCTTCCATTTTATGGGTGAGTTCATCCCATTTACATTCACAGTTATGATTACTAATTGTATTTCTTTCCATCCTAATTTTCCCCTTCTTTATCCTTTTCTCTCTTTCTTTTCACCCATTCCCTCCTCAAAAGTGTTTTGCTTCTGACCACTGTCTTCCCCAATCTGCTCTCCCTTTTATCGGTATCCCCTCTCTTGTCCACTTTCCCTCCTACTTTTCCATTAGGTAAGATTGATTTCTATACCCAGTTGAATGTATCTATTATTTCCTCTTTGAGCCAGTTCCAATGAGAGTAAAGTTCAAGTGTTACCTGCCACTCCCCCTCTGCACTTTCCCTCTATTGTAAAAGCTATTTCATGCCTCTTTACATGAGATAATTTACCCCATTCTACCTCTCCCTTCATCCTTCTCCCAGTGCATCCCACTTTTTCACCCCTTAATTTTATTTTTTTGGATATTGTCTCATCATAGTCAACTCACACCTGTGACTTCTGTCTGTGTATCCTCCTTCTAACTGCCATAATAGTGATAAAGTACTTAGGAATTACAAGTATCATCTTCCCATGGAGGAATGCAAACAGTTTAATCTTATTGAATCCCATATAATTTCTCTTTCATATTTGCCTTTTTATGCTTCTCTTGAGTCTTGTATTTGAAAGTTAGATTTTCTATTCAGTTCTAATCTTTTCATCAGGAATGTTTGAAAATCCTCTATTTCATTGAATATCCATTTTTTCCCCTGAAGGATTATATTCAGTTTTGCTGGGTAGGTAATTCTTGGTTGTGATTTTAGCTCCTTTGCCTTATGGAATATCATATTCCAAAACCCTCCAATTCTTTAACTTAGAAGCTGCTAAATCTTGTGTATTACTGATTGTGGCTTCTCAACATTTGAACTGTTTCTTTCTGTCTGCTTGCAATATATTCTTCTTGACCTAGGAGCACTGGAATTTGACTGTGATATTCTTGGGAGTTTTCATTTTGGGATCTTTTTCAGGAGGTTATTGGTGGATTCTTTTTTTTTTCCTGCTTAAAGATCTTTATTATTCTTTTAAAACTTATCTATCCATATGAGCAACTAAATACAGCAGACTTCTCTTTCATCTTTTCTTATTGGTGGATTCTTTCAATTTCTATTTCATCCTTTGGTTCTAGGACAGGGATGGGGAACCTGTGGCCTCAAGGCCACATGTGGCCTTCTAGGTCCTCAAGTGCATTTCTGTGACTGAATCCAAACTTCCCAGAACAAATCCACTTAATAAAAGGATTTGTTCTGTAAAACTTGGACTCAGTCAAAAGGCTGTACCCAAGGACCTAGAGGACCACATGTGGCCGTGAGGCCGCAACTTCCCTACCCCTGTTCTAGGATACCAGGGCAGTGTTCCTTGATACAATCTTGAAAGATGATGTCTAGGTTCTTTTTTTTTTGAGCATGGCTTTTAGATGGTCAAATAATTCTTAAATTATCTCTCTTGGATCTATTTTCTAGGTCAAGTATTTTTACAATGAGACATTTCACATTTTCTTTTTTTATTCATTCTTTTGATTTTGTTTGATTTTTTTCTTGATGTCTCATAGAATCATTAGCTTCCACTTGCCCAATTCTAATTTTTAAGGAATTATTTTCTTCAGTGAGTTTTTGTAACCCCTTTTCCATTTGGCCAATTCTGCTTTTTTAAGGAGTTCTTCTCTTCAGTGGGTTTTTGTGCTTCTTTTACCATTTGGCCTATTCTGTTTTTTAAGGAGTTATTTTCTTCAGTACTTTTTTGTGCCTTCCTTACCAAGCCGTTGACTCTCTCTCTTTTTTTTTTAGGCAATTGGGGGTTAAGTGACTTGCCCAGGGTCACACAGCTAGTAAGTGTCAAGTGTTTGGTCTGAGGCCGGATTTGAACTCAGGTCCTCCTGACTTCAGGGCTGGTGCTCTATCCACTGCGCCACCTACCTGCCCCCTCGTTGACTCTTTTCTCATGATTTTCTTGTATCACTCTCATTCCTTTTGCCTATTTCCCCCCACCTCTCTTATTTGATTTTTCAAATCCTTTTTGAGCTCTTCCAGAAATTCCTCTTTTTTTGGACCTGAGATCAATTCACATTTCTCTTTGAGGTTTTGCAAGTAGGTGTTTTCATTTTGTTGTCTTCTTCTGAGTTTGTGTTTTGATCTTCCCTATCCTCTTAGTAACTTTCTGTGGTCAGATTTTTTTTTTGTTGTTGTTGCTGTTGTTTGCTCATTTTTTCCAGCCTATTTCTTGACTTTTAACTTTATATTAAAATTGGGCTCTGCTCCTGGGGTGGAGGGGGCATTGTCTCACACTTTAGCTTTTTTGTACTGCTGTTTTCAGAGCTAGTTCTGGGGGTCTGCAAGTTTTCAGTTCTTCCAAGGTGTTATGATGTAAAGAGAGATGTAGTCACTTCTCT